CTTAATGCACTTCAACATTTATTCCTGCAATGACTGCAGAGGCACTCGTATAGGCGGGATGCTCCAAAGAAAATTTTTCCACCTCGGAATTGGAAGATTACAAACTATTGTGGTTTAAATGTGCGGAGTACATGCACTAGTTATCTTTGAAAGGCTATTTTTTTATATATAGGATACATCCATTTGAGATTTTATATGTGTATATGTATATATGTATGGAGAAAAAGAAATAAAGTACTTACAAAAATAATAGTGTAGAGGCATCGGAAAAACTGAAAACATAGTGATATAATTACAGGCAGCACAGGAAAAGATGTGAATCTGAGTGTTGAAAGGAGATGAGTGAGGGAAGAGACAAATAGCTTAAAATTTGCTAATGGCCTAAGGGACAAACTCCACTGATGATGAAGACACCGAATAGTTATTAAAGCTTCTGAACTGTTTCCAATTCTCAGACAAGGAAGCAATACTTTTGCTCTTATCAGCAAGTGCTCTTTCACATTTGTGTATCAAGCTAGCTTTATTAAATTATTCAGCAAAGGTCAAATGTGATTTGTCTTCCTAGTTTTATTATGATTTTTCTTGACATTGCCTGAGTGGTTGAATAATAAACAGTGTGTGTCAAAAAGCTACAATGCCTGAGATATCCACAGGCACTCTGAATTATAAACCCTTTTGGTCATCAGTTCTGAGGCAACATATATGCATTAAACAAAGTTTCAAATTATGTGCAAACAAAGCAACGTGCTGCTCTTGGAAACATGACAGCAGAGCAGAAACAAGCTCTGTATATCTATATGTGATGTATCTGTGAATTTGTATATGTGCACAGACACTGGCTTTGAAGCCTGCTTGTGTGATGAATAGTTGGTAAGTTTTCAACCCTGTCTCATTCTGGCTAGCTGCCCCACTAGCTGAAGACCTGCTAAAGCGTTTCACGGCTTTTCATGGTTGAGAACTTCCTGACCTGTGATAACATGCCCCAAAACTCTGCGAGGGAATGTAGAATTAAAAAACCAACATATCAAACCACCCATTTCCTACAGCAGCAGGAGAAACAGATGTCAATTTTTATTATTTTACTATAGACAGAGATCTTAGATTCAAATCAACCCTATGACTCCATATAAGCATGTGCACTGAATATGTTATTCAACATGTTAGGTTATTATGACACTAGTGTTATTACATCTAGTGTTATGTGTAGAGAATAAACTCACTCACAAGACTTTTTCAGGCACTGGTGAATTAGCATCGTGATGTTGTTCATGAACAAAATACCTATCAAATGTAAATGAATAAAAAAAATTGTAACCAGGTATAGATGTTAACATTGTTCCAGATTATTTTTCTTCATCCATAGACAATATCTAGCAGTCATTGGAAGGACCAAAAGAAATTAAACATGGGATCTTCTAATCAGGATGCAGGTTTTCTTACAAGACCAATGTAGGGAATAATACAAAGAGTTGTATGAAATCAAGATGATGTAGGATTTTGATGGTCTCGTTGATATTGCTTTGAATTAATTTCTTGTCATTTTAAACAAATATCTCTCGGTAATCTACTTTGCAGACTTTAAGATCAAAAGACTTTATACATAGAAAGCACTGAAGACTTTCATGGTTACTAACATAGCAGAAATTTATAGTTTACACATTAGCAGTAAAAAACAGCCTTCTGATAAGAAGAAGCTATTTCTTACATATACAAAAATGTATCAACCAGAGTTCGTATGCAAAAGAAACTGTACCAGGTAGTCTGTCATGCTTCTTTTGAAAAAAAAAATACAGTGGCATTTGATAATTACGGATGTTTTGGGATTTCCAAAATTAAGTAGCTTTGTTGGAGAGTTTGGAGATAGAGGTTACTCCTGTTTCTGATTTTGCACAGACTTTGACCCAGGGATTGAAAAATCTATCTCTAATATTGCATACATGCAGAAAAAGATTTCCAAGGACGTAAATCCTGTTCATCAGTCAGCTATCTTCAGGGAGGTTTTGTAGCTTCAGTTACCCATTCTGTGCCTCTAAAAATAGCTGTGGAAAAATCCAGTTCAGCAGCATTCGTCGCACCACCAGACATGACACCTTGTAGCAATATCAGTGGAGAACCATGTGGAATTACTGCTGAGAAATGTTTGTGCTTAGATTTTGTTTAAATGGCATACACCAAATTATCCAGGGAAAGTAGGTGGAAATGAGCCATTAAAAATAGTTCATCTAGTAGCATATTCATTAAATAGCACTAGGCATGCTCAATAATAACAATGGATACTAGTGTTAAGTATAGGACAGAATGCATACAGTGGGTGTTTCGATGGTATTTGAGGAAAAAGGATCGTAAGTGTATAAATTAAAAAAAAAAAAATAGGATTCTCAAAAGTTCCCAGTCCGACCAATTCTCATAACTGAAAGATGGACAGTTGGTTGAGCTGCAGATATTATTTCCATCTAAAATACACAACCTCCAAAAATGGGTCAGGGGAAGGATCCTGAGATCCATTTTTTCACACTGAAAAGGGGCATTTTAGGGGCTTAATCCCTGCAGCACATTCTTCCAAGCAGACATTGCGTCAACTGCTGTACCAGTAACAGCCTGATGTCACTGTGGCTTTTGGAGGGTTTAGGATTCATATTCCTGGGCAGAAAACAAAACGAAACACTCTCTTCAGCCTTGAGTTTGGTTTGCAAGAAGGGATCAACATTTCCAAAAGTAATCCTTCGGGATCAAAGATTCTCACAGCAAACCATGGACTGGAAACCAGTACAAGGTTGCTGGGTGTTTTTCTCCTCGTCTGCCTATACCGAGGCTCTGCTGCCCCACATTAGCCTGTCAACTGAGAAAGTATGAGAAAGTGAGAAGAAAAAAATAGCAGGAAAAAAGAAAAAAAAAAGGCAAAAGAAAATAGAAAAAGAAAAGAGGGGAGATGAGAGGGGACAGTGGAGTCAATAGAGAAAAGAGAAGACAAGGAGAGAGAAAGGGAAAAATAAAAAAGAAAGAGAAAAGAAACAAGAAAAAAATGAGAAAAGAAACAGGAGAAAAGTAAAAGAGAAAAATAGAAGAGAGACACACAAATGAACACTAAAAGGCAGAAATACAGTTTAGAGCAGGGAGTGGGTAATAAGAGACCTGTCCGTTTCACTTGTCACTAGAGCTAAAAGTATAGTAGAGAAATAAAACTCTAAAGGAAAAAAATGTGTTTTTTTTTCCCTCCGTTTTCAATGTGTAACTGTCCTAGCTGCTTCCTCACAGATGAGCAGCAAAGGCACAACACGGTTCTGGTTTGTCGGAAAGATGCACGGGTACCGATACAATTTGGAAAACCCCCAGGTAGCTGATGAAGCAGCACAGAGCCGAGGGGCATGTTAGGAGTACCCAGACATGGGCACTGCCAGGGGCTGCCACAGCCGTCGGGTGTGTGCGGAATACGCTCACATAATACATAGAGTTTTGAGTTGAAGATAACATGGTTTATTTCTTCATGATATTCAGATTAAAATGTATCAACATATTTAGCACAATACTACATTTTAGGACAAAATCATCAGTGCTTTGCATGTCTTCATAACTGTTTATTCATTATAAATAGTAAATATTTACTGAACTTTTTACATGAAAGACTTTTTTTTTTTTTTTTTTAACAACACGTGTGTTGTCGGTAGAGGCTGCAACACAAAGATAGCATTTCATTTTTTTCCATCACCCTTAAGACCAATGTGTGAACTAATCTCTGTACTGAACCTAATCTAACTCACTACCTCATAGTCCTTAACGCTAGAAGGAATGTATTTGTGTTCTGCCTCCCTCTTTGTTCCTAGAATAGAGAGAAATAAATAACACCGCCTTCCATCTTCCTGTTCTTCTCAACATCACAAAACACAAATTTATTGACATTCTAAAATGTCACAATGAAAACTTCTTGTAAACCTTTTTTTCTTATTATTATTTTCTATAATGGATATCACTGTATAATTTAAACAAATGTATCAAATACAGGACCATTTCTGTTCAAGTCCTGAACATAACCAAAAATATGTAAACGTAATTGTGTCTTTGTACTGTTTCCTAAAAATGACCTTTAAATCATGATTAATAAGCTGGATTTTAGTTGTCCAGCACTCTGCAATGGTTCTGTATTTTATCATCAGGAATTATGCAATGCAAAAATAAAAGTACCTGCAAAAATATAGTTCTGATTCTATCTATATGACTTTGGATGTTTCCAAAGTGTGTGTGAGGTACACAGTATTGCACATTGTTAGGCAGTTGTGAAAAATCAGAGTCACGTTATTGATTTTTTCCTTGTTTGTTCCAAAACATAGCATGGACTAGGAAAACTCCACATAGAAAAATGTAAAAATCTGGTTTTCATGTTACACAAGATCTTTTTTGCTGGTTAAGCAAAACATTCTAATTGACGTTTATTGACGGGATGATTACAAAAGCATGGCAAGATAACCAGCAAGTTACTCTGGAGGTCTTTGCACTCATCCTAGCTTCTTACAGACAGCGACATTTCCTCTTGAGGACCATTTCCAGTGTGTGAAGAAGATTCTGTAGCCCACGCATCAGAAGCTGAGCAAGTTTGAAGTTAGAGTAGACTCAGCATCGGTTGTCAGATGAGTCAGAGTATGCAGAGCTCAACTAATTTTCAAAATTCTCTATTTGTCCCTATCAATGCACATTAATTTCAGCAATAAAAAAATGGAATGTTTTGCCAGGCAGTGATATTAAATACTGCTCATATACCCATTTATACTGAACCACGTTGCATTTATTTATTTGTTATTGCTTTTCGCCTTTGTCTTCTGTATAATTTTGCCCAGCCTTCAAAGAGGTCTACTAAAAGCAATGACAGGAGAGAACATAACAAGCCTGCTTCTCTCGTTGGGATTACCCCAGTTTAGACTGCAGTGTGGTGAGAAGATCCCTCGTATCCAAGCATTGGAGTAAGACCGGAAAACAAGACCAGCTTTAACTTGAAGTGGACAGTTCATTTATGCAATATCTGGCTTCAGATAATGAAAGGCACCTGCAAAAAAGCAAAAAAAAAAGCTTTTTAAGTCATGCTGTGACAACCCCACAGCATGGGGCCATGCCAACTACAGGTTGACATTGTCATATTTAATACTGAGATATCAAAGGAAAGAGACTAATATTTTTATTCCTAGGACAAGTTTGACAAAACTCTGTGTATCTGGGATTATATACTATAATGATTCTTGAGCTGACCTCATTAAGAACATGTGTTTCTAATAGTGGAATGCCAGTGGTTATTTCATTTTGGACAATCCTTAGGTTTTACCTAATGGCAATCAGGTTTCATGTCTCAACAATTAATAACATCAAGATGTTGTTGACATCATTTAAGAAAATAATTATGTAGCAGACATCTTGCTCGAACAATCAGCTGTCTCGGCAGCGCGTTCAGCCCTGTTTCGGGGGGAAGCAGCAGTGAAGCGGTAGGACCTGCTCTCCTCCTTTCCTTCACTGCAAGCAGAAACCAGAGCCTCGCTCAGCAGCTACGCCGTGGTGCGTGGCCGCGCGGAGGTGCCGGTACTCACTTTGCCCGTACTGTCCGTACTGGTAGCCGGTGACGGGGTCCATGCTGTAGCCCGTGGTGCTGTAGGTCGGCGGGCAGTAGGACTGGGACGTGGGCAGGCTGTCCAGGCTCTTCATGTGCTCTAGCCGCTGGCTGCAGCTGGCCGACACCGTGGTGGTGGGCTCGAGGCCCCCGGTCAAGGGGGACAGGGCATAATCAGTTTGGGGCTGGTGAGGCACCCCGCCGTGGTTGGTCAAGAGTCCCATTACCTAAAATAAAAGGCATAATAGCACAAAGAGTTAAAATACATGAAGGCTGTATTGCACACAGAGCCACAGACACATTGAACACTGAACCTATCGGGTATTTCCCGAAGATATGTAGACTACTGTTCAACTGATCCGTTGGGTACCTAATACGACGAAGGGTATCATTTACAAAAAAAAAAAAAAAAAAAGTGATACACAAAAACGGCAAAATAAGGAATGAAGCAAACAAGGAGAAAAAAAAAACTTTAAAATTTTAGATTGGCAGCTCTTGTGGCCCAGCTGGGCCTTCCATGGGTGTTTATTCCTCATTGTCTTGATTATAAGAGACCAAGAAACAGGTGATAGTTCTTCAGTCACACTCATGCCATTGTGCATAGTCTACAAATGCAGGAAAGCTGTGAAAAAGCTCACAAAAATAATTGTCCTGAGGACAGTAATCACTGAAATTAATTGAATTTGGAGGGGATCCCAGAAATGCAACTGGTCAATGGGAGCCACAAAAAACTCGAGTACCCAGGAGAACAGGCAGTGCTGGGAAGGGGCAGAGCAGGTAAAGCTCACGCTGCTGCTGTATGCACTGTCTGCCGACCCGCTAAAAGCCAAAATAACGTCGCAATTTTTTTCTCCTCAAATTAGATCCTAAAAAAGTGTTTAAGATTATTGAAAGTTTTTTCCACTTTAGGAACAACAAATATTTTTCTCACCTCTTTGGAAAATTACCTGCTCCTAAAAAATCTAGCATGCTTAATGATCTGGCATTGGATCAGCAGGACACAATATTAGCTAAATTAGAATCTGTGTTCATTTCTGACTGAATTAATCTTCATCCTTCAAGATCAACACTAATGGATTTAAAAGAAGAAATCCACAAAAAAAACACATAGTTTTCAACATAAATGAAAGATATTACTTTAGAAAATATTTACATTGCCACAAGGAGCATGGTTTTGACTTTTTTTTAAATACACATGGTTTTATGAAAAAAAAAGTTTTCAAAATTAAGCTAATAGATCAGGTACTACCTCAAAAATATACTACTTAAAGTAACTAACCTCTTTTCTGTTTAACGGTTTCAATAGAGCCCCAAACAACATTATTTGAACATTAATAGCAAAACTGTGAATGCAAAAAAAAAAAGTTGGGGGGAATTATTTTTTAGTAGTTGTTCTAGAGATAGAGATTAGATTTGAGATTTAAACTTAGAACCACACAGTGCCTCAAAATCACCCAAATTTTAGTAGCATTAATATCTGATGTTTTGGCTGGGGCCAACTTCCAGGAGATTTGTCTTCTCTAATGAACGAAAATTAACATTTAATGAGTTTTAATTAAAAAGTTTAAAATTAGCTACACTGTAACACAAGTCTTTAGGCATCTTTTTATTAAAATAACTCAGACGCAACTCATCCAATAACTCGGACACTTTTAAGACACTTTGAGGCAGAGAAAACAGAATTTGAACAGTAACCATCTCCTCAGAAATACCTCCTCCAGAGGCCTTAGGAATCATCCTGCAGTTGATTAGTATCTAAATAATTAGATTTCTGGTCATGTCTGTTTTGAAAGCTCTAAGGGAAGTAGCCTCAAGGCAGCAGTCTTTCATATGGTATGTGCCATGACCTTATCACCCATACACGGAGTTACAGGAAGGGCAGAGCTGACTTTCACCTAATCAATTAGAAGGCCATTAATGGGCCTGCAATGTCCTGCACCCTCAGCTTAGCAGCGTACAGGAGACACATGAAAGCTCAGATTTTGCAGGTCAGATCTGCTGCTACTATGAAGCAGTATAGTTCTAAATATAATAATTAAGGAGTAAGAGAAATTTAATCAGTCTATACACCATCTAGGTATAACATGTTCTGGATTAGCTTGGGAAAGCTGAGATGACACTTGTCACCTACACTGACATGGGTTCCAAGAAAGGTAGCAAGAACAAACAAGAAAGGGAAAACAAGGGTTGATCTAACAGCTAGGGCCAAATGCTGCTGTAACTGCTCAGAACAACTCCTATAAATGCCAGAGATCAGGTTGTAGGGTTTTTGGTTACATGATATGTTTTGTTCTCAATTAAAATAAAAACCACCCTGAAATACTGATGTGGAGGCTTTGAGCTCATACTCAACAAACAGCATGTACAATTGATAAAATTTTATGCTATTAGAAAATAAAGTTGCATTTAGGAACAAAAACAGAATACAGGGAACTGCAACCAGCAAACTACAGAAATGCTTTTGGAGAGCAACAAACCCAAATATTCATTAGGCCAAATATCCCTAGCTAGTGGGATCAGCTTAACATCCCTAGACGAAGATATGATCCAGAAAGAGGAGAAATCCAATGATGAAAGCTTTCAAAACGTGTAAGCAACATCTGGTCCATTATCAGCTATTATAAAAAATACTTCTATTATCAACAAAATAAAGGCTATTAAACTGAGAAAAAGCTTATTTTGTTTAAATGAAACATTATGCCTGTTAATGCGGTTGGTATTTTAGGATGTAGGACCTACCATAGGCATAATAAAATTCTCATATGTTTTAATTCATTTACGCATGCCTGCATTTAATATGCTTTGTGACCATGTCTGCAATTAATATGATTTATGAGAAAAGAACATGTGCAGTATTTTGGGGGTACAGTGATACATTTTTTCCCCCTCCTGTGAATGAAAGATTTAATGAAACAGCTCAAGGAAAATTGTTGGCAGTTAACGTATTAAGTTGAACTGACAGAATCATGAGTAAACTTTAGTGGAGTTAATGATATCCTCTTATCTGACCCTGACACATTTGCAGCATGTAATTTACAGAAGCTCTGTCCAGGGAATCCTGACAAATGCTCCTAACGATGTCAGGGCAATGTTCCATTCTAATGGGAAGCAGATGTGGGTCAGATACCCTCATTCATCACTAACACTGAAAATTTCAGCCTCCTCCTAAGATGAATGGCATTACCTGCTGTTAACTCTTTTCACTGTAGAAAAATCTCTCAAAAGCAAAATATTGTACAAAAAAAGGCACTTGAAAAGGCTAATTTTACTGCATTGGAGCAAGAGGTTTTTAGAAAGTTGATTAAAATTAGTTAGCTACTTGGATCGGTACCTACAGAATCCTAGAATGATGTTGCTGGTTCATTATATGAATATTGCTGCTATATAAAGCAAGTGAAGAAATAAGGGCTTTGTTTTGTGCCAGAATGCAAGCACAGGGAGCCAAATCCTCCATTAATATGAACTGGAGCAAATACACTGACTGTGAACATCTTGATGATCTGACCTTCCACATACTCAAATCAGATGAGACTTTTATCCTGATTTCACACCCCTAGACATCAGTAGTAGCTGCACTGAAATCAGAGAAGATGCCCTGGTATACCTCTAGGATAATTATGAAGATCACTTGATCCTTCAGAAATCATACTTTTATCTACAGGAGATTACTCATGTTCATGATGTTTTCACAACCTGTTAATAAATTGGTCTCTTTCCAGGTGCTAGATCCTGGAATTGCATAAGGCTATCAAATTAATTCAAAGGGAAGGTAAACCTCTAGTTCCTGGTTGCATGGAAAAGCTTACCAAAAAAAAAGGCAAGACAACTGAAAAGGCAAAAAGAGAAAGCCCAGGGATGAACATACACTCTAAACTTATAGCTATATGAAAACAACCCAAAACTTGTTCAGGCTGTCATTTCTGGGTACTTGCAAGTGAGCTTAAATTGTTAAACATGACGATATGACCTCTAACAGCTCATAACAAACCCAAACTTAGCATTACGTTGGCTCTCACACACCTGTCCTCCCTCACTGGAGGGCACAGTTTTGTTTTCTATTAAAGCACAAAAAAAAAAAAAAAAAAAAAAGTATTTTCTAAATTAAAACACACTATTGAAATTTTTGCTGGCAGACGGCCTGAGGATGCGATCTGCAAAGCTTTTACAAGACTCCCCACGCTGAACTCAACCTATATTTCACATTCCCAATAGAGATAGGATGGGATTTAATTTAAAACAGAAACATCCCTACAACAGCTATTGAGTGATCTTAATATTGAGTGAAAGTTGTCTATAAAAAAAGATGACAGGCAAACCTTGTGTTCCAACCAGAAAGGATGAGTTGACTCATGCAGCTTCCATTAACATATATGCCAGGCCTCTAAAATTTGACTGATTAGCCCTGGCTGCAAGAAAAGTACACAGTGGTTTGACCAGGGTAAGCCTGTCTGTATTCCGACTTTTTTTTTTTTTTTTAAATATAAGAACATGATAACTATTACCAGTGTTTTGACATAAATCAAGAAAAATCTCCCTAGAAAAACAGGAATTCTATTCTCAATTCTGAAAATAATTGAGTCCTGTGCATTTAAACCCTCTTCCAAGAGAAAAAAAGAATAACACACTGCTTCCTAGAGTAACTCTGCTAAAATCTCACTGCAATATATATTTTTCACTGAATCGTGGTATTTTTAGTATCTTTTTCAGACACCTAAAATACAGAGCATAATTAATGACTTGAGGCATCTGTGTATACACATGACGAAGGTCTCATTCATGCATCCATCCTTAATTGAATAAATATGCAAGTGTTTAGATTCATTAAAGAATTGGAACTCACCAGTATAGCAAGGTTCAGTACTGAGTATATTCTAAATAGTACAAATTATCTGGGGAAAAATAAGTCATTCTGTGGGAATTTCTGAAGCCTTCAAAATCACAGAGTATAAGTAGATTACTTTTTTTTTTGATCTTGAATCTTTGAATCTTGTGATGTCAATTGAATTTTTAAAGTTACACATGAAATCACCACAAACATATTTGTTCACAAATTTAAAAATATTATAAACCAGGAATTATACTTTGTGGTATTTTTTCCACCTCTCAATTAGAAAGAATAAATTAGAACAGCTGGAAGGTATTGAGAATGTGGGTTTAGGGGTAGCTTAGGTTTTGTTTGTAGAAGCAAAATTTTCACGTGAAAGAAAGGTTTTGTCATAAATAACGA